CCATCTCTACTAAAAATACAAAAATTAGCCGGGCATGGTGGCGGGCGCCTGTAATCCCAGCTACTTGGGAGGCTGAGGCAGAGAATCGCTTGAACCCGGGAGGCAGAGGTTGCAGTGAGCTGAGATCGCACCACTGCACTCCAGCCTGGGTGACAGAGTGAGACTCCATCTCAAATAAATAAATGCCACAGGGTGGCTCACTCCTGTAATCTCGGCACTTTGGGAGGCTGAGGTGGTTGGATCACATGGTGAAGAGATTGAGACCAGCTGGCCAACATGGTGAAACCCCATCTCTACTAAAAATACAAAAATTAGCTGGGCGTGGTGGTGGGCGCCTGTAATCACAGCTACTTGGGAGGCTGAGGCAGGAGAATCACTTGAACCCGGGAGGTGGAGCTTGTAGTGAGCCGATCGCACCACTGCACTCCAGCCTGGTGACAGAGTGAGACTCTGTCTCAGAAAAAAGAAAGAGAAAAAACCACAGTGTGGAATTTATCGACACTTAGATCTAATACAGGAAGCAGGAAATTACAAATTTTGTGTTAATTGTATTATCTGTATCTTTGTAAAGCACATTTTATTTTTTTCTGTTTGAGACAAAAGTTTATTAAGAAAGATCTGAAGAAAATCTATCTTTTTGCAAAATTTTTTTCCTTTGCCATGTTTATCATGAGCTGAACATTGTGGTCTTAATTATATTGTAATGAAAACATTTAACTGATGAGGGATCAGACACAGTACAGTACCCTTGAAAACATTAATAAATTTGTTCTCTTTTTTTAGGCATAACCATTGCCATCCAAAAGTTACTTTCTCTTATGAACAGCTTTTTGGTTTCAGATGACCATTGGCTTATTTAGGAAGAGAATATGGCCTACTTTTTCTGTTTTCATTTGTCTGTTTCTTTTCTTTTTTCTTTTTTCTGAGACGGAGTTTTGCTCTTGTTGCTCAGGCTGGAGTGCAGTGGCGTGATCTCGGCTCACTGCACCTTCTACCTCGTGGCTTCAAGTGATTCTCCTGCCTCAGCCTCCCGAGTAGCTGGGACTACAGGCGCCCACCACAACACCCAGCTAATTTTTGTATTTTTAGTAGAGGCGGGGTTTCACCATGTTGGCCAGGATGCTCTCAATCTCTTGACCTCATGATCTGCCCGCCTCGGCCTCCCAAAGTGCTGGGATTACAGGAGTGAGCCACCGTGCCCGGCCTATTTCCTTTTTTAATCTACACAATGGGCTTCTTTGATGTTCTTGTTACATATCTTCTGTTGCAGTGCACAGGAACTTTTCTGATACACCTAGGAGTAAAATGGCTGGGTCATAGCATATGTACTTCTTTGATATTAATAGACAAATTGTTTTCCAAAGTGGCTGTTAATGGCACTAGTCTCTCTCTCTCTGTCTCCTCTCGCTCCTCTCTCTCAGGATGAGAGGTCACAGTCTGGCGAGATTGAAATGCATATGTTGTTTTTAAGTTTTTTTTTGTTTTTTGTTTTCGTTTTTTTTAAAGAGATGGGAGTCTCGTTCTGTCACCCAGGCTGGGATCCAGTGGCGTGATCATGGTCGCTGCAGCCTGGAACCCCTGAGCTCAAGCGATCCTCTCACCTCAGCCTCCCAAGTTCCTGGGACTGTGGATGCGTGCCATCACACCTGGCTTTTTTCCTTAGGTTTTATATTTCATCAGTTGTACACGTATTAAAGAGTCAGCTGTAAAGTTTGTAATGGGGGTGAGCATTGCCTTGCCTTGTCACTTTTTTGTCCCCAAGCTGTAACCACTTTTATCCCTTTTTGCTTTTTTGGGTCTATTTTGGTATCTGTTTTGGGTGTCAGAGGCTTACCTTCAGTTTGAGAAGGAAGAAGTGAAAAGTGTATTAGAAGCTCTGAGTGCAGCAGGAGGCGGTGCTGATTGTTTCTCTCTAGGGTGATGTGGGTGTGCTGCTTGTTGGTGTCTGCCCCTCACATCAGTATCTTTAGAGCTGAAGCCTGTGGGATGCTTCAGAGAAGATGCTTGTCCCAGCCTCTGTCCAGGGTGGTGGAAGAGGAGTAAATGGCCCGTGGCCTGCAGTCTGGGAGCCCAGTGGGGAAGAGGGCGTGGTGATGAGTATGTCTGCAAATACCTCTCACCCCTGTTTTTGGTAGGATGCCCTTGCCCTCAAACATGTTCGAAGTGCCCTAGTCTCTCTGTTTTGTTCTCTAAAGATAAATAAGCATTCTACTGTGGTGTGGGAGAGAAGAGGCAGGCATCCAGTGGCATTTCAAAGAGTCTGTCAACCAGTTCTCCTTATTTTAGTTGACCCTCCTTCACAGCCCCCCTCCAGAGTTATCCGGTGCAGCCAGAGCCTAAGCCTTTTGGGGATTCTCACACGTAAATTAGGTTACTTGGTCTATGCCACTGTGGGCTTAAGAGTTTCCTTTTCTATGTGGGTTAAATCAGCTATGGCTAGTCCAATTTGGCTTCAGGCTAATAAAAATGTGATGGTGGTTCTTTGTTTCCATTCTCTTTGTTGTAATGGGTTTTGAATTTTTAAAATCGCTAATTATGATTACTACAGTTTTAGTGGAGGTCTCTTGTTGGGATTTTAATTTGTATTTCTTTGACTATTAAGAGAGTTGGCATCCTTTCATATGCCCATTCATATTAATTTTTTGGTCTTGTGCCTATGCAAGTCATTTGCCCATTTTCCTTTTTTCTTTTTTTTCTTTTGAGACGGAGTCTCGCTCTGTCACCTGGGCTGGAGTGCAGTGGTGCAATCTCGGCTCACTGCAATCTTTGTCTCCCTGTTTCAAGTGATTCTCCTGCGTCAGCCTCAGCCTCCCAAGTAATTGGGATTACAGGTGCCCACCACCACACCCAGCTAATTTTTTGTATTTTTAGTAGAGATGGGATTTCACTCTGTTGGCCAGGCTGGTCTAGAATTCCTGACCTCAGGTGATCCACCTGCCTCAGCCTCCCAGAGTGCTGGGCTTACAGGCATGAGCCACTGTGCCTGGCCCCATTTGCCCATTTTCTAAGCACTGAGTTGTTTTGTCTTTTAAAAATTGACTTGTTGCTGGGCACAGTGGCTCACACCTGTAATCTCTGTGCTTTAGGAGGCCAAGGTAGGAGTTTTGCTTTAGGCCAGGCGTTCAAGGCCAGCCTGTACAACACAGCAAGACCCTGTCTCTAAATTAAAAAAAAAAAATTAGCCAGACATGGTGGCGCATGTCTGTAATCCTAGCTACTTGGGAGGCTGAGGTGGGAGGATTGCTTGAGCCCAGGAGTTCAAGGCTGCAGTGAGCCATGATCATGCAGCATTTCACTCCAGTCTGGGCAACAGAGTGAGATCCTGTCTCTCCAAAAAACAATAATATAATTTGTAGGAGTTATATATTTTGAATCCCAGTTCTTTGGCAGTTTCTGGCTCAGCCTCTTCTTCACTTTGTGGTGTGGAACTTTTGGTGAATGAAGTTTCTTCATTTTTATTTACTAATTTTTTTTTTGAGACACAGATTCTAACTCTGTTGCCCAGACTAGGGTGTAGTGGCACAATCATGATCATAGCTCACTGCAGCCTCAAATTCCTGGGCTGAAGTGATCCTCCCACCTGAGGCTCCCAAGTAACTGGGCTTACAGGCGTGCATCACCATGCCTGGCTATTTTTCATTTTTTTAGTTGAGATGGGGGGTCTCACTGTATTGCCCAGGCTGGTCTCAAACTCCTCAAGTGATCTTCCCACCTTGGCCTCCCAAAGTGCTTGGATACAGGCATGAGCCACCTTGCCTGGCCTATTTCTTAATTTTGATATAATTAAATGTATTAATATTTTCCTTTGTGATTTATAATTTGTCCATCTTGTTTAAGAAGTCCTTCCCTGGCTGGGTGCAGTGAACCCAGGAGACAGAGGATGCAGTGAGCCAAGATTGCGCCACTGCACTCCAGCCTGGGCGACAGAGCCAGATTCTGTCTAAAAAAAAAAGTCCTTTGCTACCCTGAAATTATAAAAACATTCTCCTGTATTGACTTCTAAAAATTGTATAGTGTTCCCCTTCACATTTAAGTCTTTAATTCACTTGTAATTGATTGAAAATATGTATGATTGATAACATACAATCTGCTTTTATTTCTTCCATGTAAATAACTGTCTTCACACATATTTATTGAAGAGTCCAGTCTGTCTTTGAGCCGAGTGTCAGCTCTGCTGTGAATCATGTTTTCATCGGCCTTGGTCTTTTCCTGGGTACTGTCTACATTTATTTATTTATTTATTTTACTTTTTGTAGAGAAAGGATCTCACCATCTTGCTCAGGCCGGTTTTGAACTCCTGAGCTCAAGCGATCCTCCTGCCTCAGTCTCCCAAAGTGCTGGGATTAGAGACGTGAGCCACTGTGCCTGGCCTTAGCCTTCTTTTATAGTCATCATTTTATTTTTGAGACTCATCCATATTGATAGACTTAGCTCATTCATTTTAAATTTTTTTTTTTTTTTTTTTTTTAAGAGGCGGATTCTCCCTCTGTCGCTCTGGCTGTGCAGTGGTGGGATGCGCTTGTGGGATCACACCATTCTCCTGCCTCAGCCTCCTGAGTAGCTGGGATTACAGGCACCCGCCATCACGCCCAGCTGATTTTTGTATTTTTAGTAGAGATGGGGTTTCACCATGTTGGCTAGGCTGGTCTCAAACTCCTGACCTCAAGTGATCCACCCACCTCAACCTCCTAAAGTGCTGGGATTACAGGCGTGAGCCACTGCGCCCGGCCTGAAAAAATATTTTTGTTGGATGGGATTCTGTTTTATGAATGTACCACAATTTATTCAAGTTCTTATTGATGAATATTTTGGCTGTTTTCTGGTTATAAAGAGCGCTCCTATGAGTGTCTTAGATAGAGTCTCAATGGGAGCGTTTCTTTAGGATAAATACCTGCATATGGAATTGCCGGGTGACAGCATTTACCCACCTCACCCTTGCTAGATGTTGCCAGTTTGTTCTCCAAAGTAGTTGTTTAATTGATAATTTTTTCTTCTTTCAGTGCCTGAAGACCTCTCATTAGAAGAGAGAGAAGAGCTTCTAGATATTCGTCGAAGAAAAAAGGAACTTATTGATGACATTGAGGTAAAAAAGAAAACAACCCCAAAAATCCAAAACTCTATTTTTTGCTTTTGAGTAAAACAGTAAAAGAGTAGCCTCACAAAAATATAAAAGAAAAAAAAAAAAGGTGTTCAGTGTGTGCATATAAGAACTACACAGAGAGACAGACTGAAAAAGTTATCAAGTTGGGAAAGCAAAGACTTCACACAGGTGGTGAGACCCTGGGTAGAAATCAAGACGTCGTGGAACTGAGGTCAGCAGTAGCCAGCTTGCAAACCCAGAGTCACAGACAGCCATCTAAAGCAGCAGCAAGCCACCAGCGCATTGCTCTGTCAGACTGTGCACTGAGACCCTCTTTCGTTAACCAACGTGTTTGTTTTTTGCTTTTCGTTTCTTTGAGACAGAGTCTCGCTCTGTTGCCCAGGCTGGAGTACAGTGGCATAGTCTGGGCTCACTGCAAGCTCCGCCTCCTGGGTTCACGCCATTCTCCTGCCTCAGTCTCCCGAGTAGCTGAGATTACAGGCGCCCACCACCACACCCAGCTAATTTTTTATATTTTTAGTAGAGACAGGGTTTCACCGTGTTAGCCAGGATGGTCTTGATCTCCTGACATTGTGATCTGTCTGCCTCAGCCTCCCAAAGTGCTGGGATTACAGGCCTGAGCCACCATGCCCAGCCACCAATATGTTAATATTCTAGCACCTAGAACATTGCCTGTTCCATTTTTGGCTCTCGGATACCCTTTGAATGAATGCATAGGCATGTTTTGGGTTCCAGCTGTGTACCAAGTGCCTACTAGGTGTTAGGGTAGAATGACACATTAGGCCGGGCACAGTTGGTCACACCTGTAATCCAGCACTTTGGGAGGCCAAGGCGGGAGGATCTGTTGAGCCCAGAAGTTCAAGACCAGCCTGGGCAACATGGTCAAACCCCATATCTACAAAAAATACAAAACTTAGCTGGGCATGGTGGCATGTACCTGTAGTCCCAGCTACTCGGGAGGCTGAGGTGGGAGGATCACCTGAGCCCAAGAAGTTGAGGCTACAGTGAACTGTGATTGTGCCACTATACTGCAGACTGGGTGACAGAGCAAGACCCTGTCTCAAAAAAAAAAAAAAAAAAAAAAAAAAGACATTAAACCAAGACAAATAAAAACACAGGCATACAAACATGGGCTCTCCCACACTTGTGTACTTTACTCAGAGGACAGGGTAGAGGCAGGTCCCACAGGAGAAGCACATGAATGAAGCCGCAGTCTCAGCGTGGGAGAGCCTGTGAGTGTTACAGAAGTGATTCAGAGGGCCGGCCCTGGCTGCTTCCGTTTGGGGCTTCCTTGGGAAAGTCAAGCAGACCTGGAGGTCTTCTTTGAAAACCTTCCTAGTCATTGTCATTGCCAAAGTAAATGTGGCTTCACAGGCCACGGCAGGGACAGGCCTTGTCCCAGACAATAGCTCCTTTCTAGGAGCTTGCGTTTTAATTTTGAGTGTGTTGGCGTACAGAATAATAGGGTCCCAGATAAAAATGTCTTTGTATTTGAAAGGTAATTCATGGAAATTTTTCTTCTAAGGTTACCCTTCATTCTTGGGAAAATGAGAGAACCCAGAATCGGTCTCTGGTTGAAGAATAAGGATGTATATTATTTGGACGTTAGTAATCATCCTGCTGATAAATGTGGAATTGTAGTCTAGCTCTAACTACTTCAGTTTATCAGTGAGCACACTGAGGCCCAGGGAAGTTGGAGGCTTCCAGAGGTCTCTCTCATTAGTAGGGGCCACATCAAGGGAAAAGGGGGTGTGTCCCCTTGGATGCCTTTGGCTTCTCTGAGCGCCCTGAGTCAGTTCTGTTCACCCCCGGGCTCTGTCCATGGTGCTTCATCTCATTCAAGGTGATAGAAGTGATCCTGAGACCACCGACCTAAACACACCTGAGCTTCAGCCTGAGACCACCGATCTAAACACACTTGAGCCTCAGCTTCTCCCCAGGAACAAAGGCAGTCTTGAAGGAGGAGGCAGGTGACTGTGTGTGTGGCAGGGCTGAATAGTGCAGTTAAGTGAACTAAGGACTCAAGGCTTTCCTTTTGCTGGTTTTATCTTTTTTTTTTTTTTTTTAAGAGACAAAGTCTTGCTCTGTTGCCCAGACTGGAGTACAATGGTGTGATCATGGCTCACTGTAGCTTCAAACTCCTGGGTTCATGCAATCCTCCCTCCTCAGCCTCTCTAGTAGCTAGGACTACAGGTGTGTACCACCACACTCAGCTACTTTTTCTGTTCTTCTTTTTTGTAGCAATGGGGCCTTGCCACATTGCCCAGGCTGTTCTCAAACTCCTGGTCTCGAGTGATCCCTGTGCTTCAGCTTCCCCAAATGCTGGGATTACAGGCGTGAGCCACCACTCCTGACTTGGTTTTATCTTTTCACAGCTGTGATATTCCCCCGCAATGTCCCTGCCTGATTCTATATACAGATACCCTAGGATCTGCATAGTGACCCCTCTGAATCTGGTATCTGATGAAAAGTGAGCAAATAATTTTGTTTTCTCCTAAGTTGTGGTGGCTTTGACTGTGAAACTCTAGCTGTATTGATAATAGTATTGGTTTTTCCATCCCTGCGATGCTTAGATGAGACCTCAGGGAAGCTTGTCACAAGACGACTAAAATTTCCGTCTCAGGGGAGGAAGGTTAAGACCCACTCCTCACCTCAAAATTCTTCTGTTTTGACAGAGGCTGAAATACGAAATTGCAGAAGTGATGACAGAGATCGACAATCTAACTTCCGTAGAGGAGAGGTAACAATTTGTGGCCACACCTTCAAGCTGTTTACTCGTTTCTTTCTACCTCCATCTTCTAGTCAAACTTGCAGAAAGTGGGGTGAGAGTGGTTGGGATGGGGGGAGCCTGTGGAGTTGTTAATTCCTCTCCTCTCCCCCCGCTCCTTGTGGAGGGGTCCTGGGGTATTTCCCTGGATGTTACTTCTCATCGCCTCCTCTGTAAGTCACCATCTACCTTTATAGGTTCAGGCATAAGCACAGGTACTTCAGGGTTGACCCGCACAGAAATTACCTGCCTGCGTCATAAGGAGCTGTGCTTTATTAAAATCACTGGTTTGCATCATTAGCTTTTTCTGAAGTGTCTCAAGTTATCAAATGTGAAGAGCAATGGCGGCCACACCACCCCTCCGCCACCGTGGAGGCTGGAGGCCCCTCCGTGCAGGCCTGTGCTTCCCTTCCTTGAGTCTGTTGTTGCGGGGGAAAGTGCACTGGAGGGCCGTGACTCGGCTGCACCATGAAAACAGCGTGAGTGATTTTCAAATTATTCCACACCAACAGCAAAACGACTCAGAGGAACAAACAGATAGCCATGGGAAGAAAGAAATTCAACATGGATCCCAAAAAGGTAAGAGAATGCTCTCCCTTTTCTGGCCTGCAGGAGATGGACTCATCCATTGATTTGAACTGCGATGTCCCTTTTGGACAGAGGTCAGAGGGGGTCCGTCCTGTCACCTCATAAAAGACGGGGAGTTAAAGGCACATTTCGATCAAAAAGGGGCTGTTCACGAGTGGGGTGAAGCAGAAGTGCCTAGTAGGGCTGGTACCCTGGGCAGAAAGGCCTTTCTTGCCGAGTGAGCTTCTGGGTGAGGAGGCAGCCTCACAGGCCCGGCTCAGACAACGCGGGGCAGGCCGGGCTTGGCTCCAGGCAGTGCCCTTGCTGTGGAGGCTCATATTCCCGTCTTCCCACTTGAGCTGGGCCCTACAGCCAGGAACCACGTGATTAGGAAGGAACAGGGGTGGGAGTGGAACCCGGGTGTCCAGAGGTTGTGGACTTTATAATCTGGGTGGGTTAAGTGGTTCACGTAAGAGGACGTTATTTCTCCATTCGCCTTAAAAAGCAGGTGTCTGTGAAAAAAAACAAGGGATCCTCCACATTTAAACCAGCATCTTCCTCTTTCCTCAAGTTGGATTTTCTAGGGAAACACCCGAAAACAGTGAAACCTGAAACATGCAGCTGCTTGTTTCTGAGACTGAGCTAAAGGATTTGGCAGAATCTGTGAAGATTTTTGGTGGACGTTTTGGTTTTGAGAAAGAAGGGTAGACCTGAGTCTTCAGGGTTTGGGAGAGGAACCGCATGTCTGAATTTCACCACATTGGTCAGGCTGGTCTCAAACTCCTGACCTCAGGTGATCAGCCCACCTCGGCCTCCAAAAGTGCTGGGATTACAGGCATGAGCCATTGCGCTCGGCCATGTCTGGATTTTCTTAAGGCCGCGGACATCTGCAGCCAGAGGAGGAGTTAGATTTATCAGCAGATTTAATAAACATTGGAAGCATCTCAGGATTCTTTATGAAAGTGGATGTTCTGAGGCCGGGCGCGGTGGCTCAAGCCTGTAATCTCAGCACTTTGGGAGGCCGAGACGGGTGGATCACGAGGTCAGGAGATCGAGACCATCCTGGCTAACACGGTGAAACCCCATCTCTACTAAAAAATACAAAAAACTAGCCGGGCGAGGTGACGGGCGCCTGTAGTCCCAGCTACTCAGGAGGCTGAGGCAGGAGAATGGCATGAACCTGGGAGGCGGAGCTTGCAGTGAGCTGAGATCCGGCCACTGCATTCCAGCCTGGATGACAGAGCAAGACTCCGTCTCAAAAAAAAAAAAAAAGAAAGTGGATGTTCTCAAAACGACCTTATGTTTTAAGGGGACCCAGGTGGTGCAGCACAGAGCAGCACTCCAGTAAGTTCGTGGGCAAATGCTTATCTCATGAAAGACATACAGATAGATACTTACTTTGTAAAGGGATGCTACTGAGGCCTGGCGTGCTGGCTCACACATATAATCCCGGCACTTTAGGAGGCCCAGCTGGGCAGATCATCTGCGGTCAGGAGTTTGAGACCAGCGCAGCCAACATGGTGAAACCCTGTCTCTACTAAAAATACAAAATTAACCGGGCATGGTGGCGGGTGCCTGTAGTCCCAGCTACTCGGGAGGCTGAGGCGTGAGAATCACTTGAACCTGGGAGGCAGGTTGCAGTGAGCTGAGATTGTGTCACTGCACTGCAGCCTGGGCGACAAGAGTGAGAGACTCTCTCTCAAAATAAATAAGTAAAGTGATGCCACCACTGTGTATCAGCGTTCAGCTTCATGAGCGTAAACTTGTCTTCATGCCTGTGAAGCCCTCTCTGATAGGCTCTTGCCTGTCTTCCTGTTTTATATATACCGTGTGTCAGATTTTTTTTTTTTTTTTTTTAAGATGGAGTCTTGCTGTGTCGTCCAGGCTGGAGTGCAGTGGCGCGATCTTGGCTCACAGCAAGCTCCGCCTCCCGGGTTCACACCATTCTCCTGCCTCAGCCTCCCGAGTAGCTGGGACTACAGGCGCCCGCCACCACCCCCACCAAATTTTTGAAATTTTTAGTAGAGACGGGGTTTCACCGTGTTAGCCAGGATGGTCTCCATCTCCTGACCTCATGATCCACCCTTCTCGGCCTCCCAAAGTGCTGGGATTACAGGCGTGAGCCGCTGCGCCCAGCCATGTCAGATTTCTAGTAAGGGCCAACATTGAGAAGTCACTGTTTGTCAAGAACCATGATGAGGAAGCACTTTAATTCATACACTTAAGTTCCTATAGTAACCTTATGAGGTAGGGAGGGTCCGTCTTAATTCCTCTTTCACAGTTGGGGAAAATGAGGCACAGAACAGCTAAGGAATTCACCGCTGGCCTGAGGAGGGAACCTGACTCCAAGTCAGCCTGTCACTGCTACTGTCTGCTGCACTGGGTGGAAGCCCCTGGGGTTGGTTTCTAGGTGGCCCTAAGTGGTCATCCCTGTAGCACTGGCTCACCACGGCCAGGGAAGTTGGCATTTAACCCATTTATTATGCCTGAGGTTGCCGGTTTTTGAATTTCTGGTCAGACCTTGGCGATGACCTTGAGCAGTAGGATGTAAACAGCCCCCACATGCTTTGTGTTCCAATAATGGAACACTAGGCATAACCTACTTTGCCTGGGCTGTGGCAGATTGCTCACCAGCTTCATTTTTTGTTCCTCTTCACCTACAAGATTTTAAGAATCTTGATTACTGGTTGTACTTATCTATAATTATGCTGCTTGATAAAAGAGGATGGCATGTTTAGTCTGCATGTAGCCTTTTGTTGGCAGAAATTATCAAAGTTCCTTGGTTTTGTAGACTTGGATATAGCACTTGTCTTAAGTCTACTTGAGCCTTCCTAACGCAATACCATAGAGGGGGTGCTTAAACAGTGGAAATGTATTTTCTTACAGTTCTGGAGGCTGGAAGTCCAAGATGAGGGTGCCAGCATGATTGGCGTCTGGTGAGGGCTCTCTTCTTGGCCTGCTGGTAGCCACCTTCTTGCTGTATCCTCACATGCTGGGTAGTAAGGAGAACTTGCTGACTCTAGGGTGCTGTTCTTATAAGGGCACAAATACCATCAGACCAGGACCCCCACCAGGACCTCATGTAACGCTGATTACCTCCAAAAGACCCCATCTCCAGATACCATCACATTGGGGGTTTGAGCTTCAACATACGAATTTCATTCACAGCTGCGATGGATGATGTCACATGCTTCAGACACAACTCAGAATTACATCTACCTCCCCACGCCCCTATTAAACCTGTAACGTTGTGAAGCATGAAGACATTGTCAGAGTAAATACATTCCTTCCGGCTAGGATGGCGTTTTCTACGTCTCAGAGTGATGACACTTTAAACAGGGAGCTTTGGTTTGTTCAGGTGCATTATTTCTAGAAGTAGCACTTGAGTTCATAAATGAGTAAGAGGCAAGGTTTGATTAGATCACGGAAGCTGAAAACACTCTGCAGCCTCTCTCTTTTATTCCTGATTTCCTAGAAATGCCTTAAATAAAATATATAAATCATATGACAAGCAGGGGTTCACTCAGTGGACTAGAAATTGAGGAATCCCTGGAAGAAGATAAATGGGATCCACTGAAGAAGGAAACAGTGCCCACAGAACATACAAGAAAGGACTGCCGGGGGCGGCAAGAGCAGCTTCAGAGTTCCCTGAGCACAGAGGAGGTACATTCGGGGAACAGGACTGTGGGAGGGACATCGAGACTGGTCACCCTTTCCTGACCTTGTGCCTAGCAGTGATTGTGTCTCCAGGTGGGAAAAGCAAGAGGGAACACTTAGTCCATGAAAACAAGCAGCGTCCTTGGTGGGTAGCAGCACCAAGAAGGAGAAATAGCCACTCTCAAGAGACCAGCCGTTGGCTGCCTGACCTCCTCTGCCAGATCACTGGAGGCAGCTGCAGCAAAAACCAGACGCAGGTACCGTTCTGTTAGGCCAGCAGTGACCCTTCAATACAAAGACGAACACCCACCAAGCACCACCAAGCGTTTGAGGAAACCAGCACCGTGAAAGAGACACAAAACCCTACAAACAGAAGAACTAAGACTGGAGGAAACAGATGTAATAGAAACAGTAGAGGTGGGGAGGGCGGCTCATGCCTGTAACCCCGACGTCTTGGAAGGCCTAGGCGTGAGGATCGCTTGAGCTCAGGAGTTCAAAACCAGCCTAAGATAGCGAGACCCTCATCTCTACAAACTTTTTTTTTAATCAGCCAGGCATAGTGGTATGTACCTGTAATCCCAGCTACTTGAGAGGCTAAGGTGGGAGGATCACTTGAGCGCAGGAGTTTGAGGCTACAGTGAACTGTGATTGCACCACTGCTTTCTAGCCTGGGTGACAGTAAGACTTTGTCTTTTAAATCCTTTATCAAGCCAGGTATGGTGGCATGTGCCTGTAGTCCAACTACTGGGAGGCTAAGGCAGAAGGATCACTTGAGCCCAGGAGTTTGAGGCTTCAGTGAGCTGCAATTACACCACTGCACTCTAGCTGGGGCAACAGAACGAGACCCTGTCTCTTAAAAAAGAAGCAGGAGGCTGGGTGTGGTGGCTCACGCCTGTAATCCCAGTACTTTGGGAGGCTGAGGTGGGTGGATTGCCTGAGGTCAGAAGTTTGAGACCAGCTTGGCTAACATGGTGAAACCCCATCTCTACTAAAAATAGAAAAAAAATTAGCTGGGTATGGTGGCAGGCACCTGTAATCTCAGCTACTCGGGAGCCTGAGGCAGGAGAATCACTTGAACCTGGGAGGTGGAGGTTGCAATGAGCCTAGATTGTGCTAAGGCACTCCTCCCTGGGTGATGAGGTCCAGCCTGGGCGACAAAAATAAATCAATAAAAAAAAAAAAAAAAAAAAAAAAAAAAAAAAAAAAGGCAACTTTTTATCATAGAATATTTATCTATATTATAAATATCATAAAAAAGATACGATAGGATGTTTCTTATCCATGATACAAAAATGGGGGATTGTGAAAAAGAACCTTGGAAATGAAAACTGGGAGTGTCTGTCACGTCGTCACTTGAGCATATGGAGAAGACGTGGCTGAAGAGTGGACGTGTGTTAGAAGAGAGTTTAAGAATTCTTTATTCAGTTTTGCAGAGAACTACAAGAAAACATGCGAGGTGGGTCCAGCAGCCCAAATTTCATCTAAAAGAAGTCTCAGAAGGAGAGAATGGAAAATGGAGGAGAGGAATATTTCAAAGAAATCTTGGAATATTTTAGAACTAAGAAAAATCCTTAGATTCAAAGGCCCCACCAAATGCCAAGCAGGATGAAAATTGAAAAGACTTACACACTTAGATGTGTCAAGTGGAATGTTGTAAAACTCGTGGATAGAGAAATTCATTTAATTTTCCAGGAAGGAAAGATCAGATTACCTAAGAAGAAATGAGGAGCACAGCAAGCTTATCAGGGACACTGGATCAAAGACAGGAGGGAAGGCAGTACCTTCCAAGGCCTGAGGAAACATGATTTAAAACCCCGAATTCTGTCTGTCCTGTCACTCACGAGAGAAGGTGAGGAAAGACATGTTCAGACATACAAGGGCTTCTCTGTCTGATCTCTAGGAATTGTGTAATTGGAGTATGACACATCAAAACAAGAAATGATTACAGAGGATCAAAAAGGAAAGAAACAAGCAAAACTTTTTACGTCAAAGTGAGAAATTTAGTCCAAATTTATGTCAGTATGTAAGTAGCAAGGGGGAAAGGAAGGAGGGAAGTAACAGCTAAGGTTTTCTAGATGTTGATAGATACAAATAAGTTTAAATACTTGTCAAAATTTTAAGAGGAATCACTAAAGAGAAATAGGATTTTAAAATTATTAACAAACATCAAAGAAAGTTTGATCAGTTCAACACAAGGCTGGAAAGGCATGTGAAATAGAAAGCACCAAATAAGGGGTCAGGAGGAAGTGCTAACCAATCAGTGCTCACTGTAGATTTGATTGGGCTAAATTAATGACAAGACAGACACTTGGATATTAATTTAAATAAATAAGTAAAATCCAGCTTCAGATTGAGACCCACACCTAGAAGAGAAACAAAAAAAGGTAAGAGTAGGTGTAGTGGGTCACATGGTGCCACTGCCCCCATTTCTGCTGTTTGACTTTCTAAATGGTATTCTAAAATATTAAAAATTTCCAATACTGTTAGAACATTCACTTTCTTCTATGACTATTTACCTAGTGTATTAGTGTTCTAGGGCTGCCATGACAAATGACCACAAACTGGGTGGTTTAAAACAAGAGAAATCTATTCTCGCTCAGTTCAGGCGGCCAGAAGTCCAAGATCGGGGTGTCGGCAGGATTGCTGCTTAGACTCTGCGGGAGAATCCCTTCCCGCCTCGCTCCTGGCGGGCTGCCGGCCTCCTGCTTTCCGCAGCTGGGGGCGCCTCACTGTGGTCTCGGCCTCCATTGTCTTGTGGCCTTCTCTGCACCTTCTCCTCTGTCTCATAGGACAAGTGTGATTGGACGCAGAGCTCTGTGTCTTCCTCCTCTGCTTGTCTCTTTGCCGCCTCCCAAATAGCATTCTCCAAGAAATGTCCTAGTTTTTTGTATGTTCTGAATTTTAGGGCAGGTCTTGAGCTTCCAGAGGAATTAATGGAAGCCTCATGCCCAGGCCCATTCAGTTCCCTGGGCTTCAGCTGATAGTGGCAGGGGCCTTCACCATGCAAGGTCAGGCCCCCAGCCTTGCATCCCCAGAGATGACAGGACAACTAGTGATCCCTGAGGGTGTCCTGCCTCCCTCCCACCTGCAGCTGATGGCCTCACCTGGCTTCTCCACCTGCCTCACTTGTTTTCCTCACTTAGAGCCAATAGCAAAGCCCTAGCACTGTCTCCTGCTCCAGGCTCTGTTTTCAGGGAACTTGGGCTACATTAGGCCTCTTGAAGGACCAGACCTGTGTTGCTACAGTGTGTGTGTGTGTGTGTCTTGTAATTTAGATGGTGCCCCTATGGGTGTACCCACTTAAACTCCTACCAAATACATATGAAAATTGATGTAGGATTGTTAGACTCGCTAATTTTTTTGGAGAATAACAAATCATGGTACACAAATTCTAAATGTACAGCTTGAAGAATCTTTATAAATTAATATACTCACATTACTGCAACCCAGAACAAGCCACAGTTGTAGAATATTACAGGGCACCTTGCTGGTGCCTCATCTTAGGGAATTCACTCCCCAAGGTAGCCAGTCCTTAATCATCATAAGTTAGTTTTGCCTTTTTCAAACCTCCTGTGAATGGAATTGAAATCCTCTTCCATGTCGTCTTTTGCTCCATATCATGTCTGTGAGATTCGTTCTTGTGAGTGTTCATTCCATTTCATGGCTGTAGAGTCTTCCATCATGTGATTATGCCAGAATGTATTGATTGGTTCTCTTATTGACTGTTTTCAGTTTTTGGAAATAAGGCTGCTGTGGACGTTCGTGTGTGTAAAAGAAATAGAAAATCTTCTGGATGGACTGTGAGGGTATGAGGCAGCCCTGGTCTTGGGTACTGACAGTCTTAGCTGGATAGAGCCTCTCTGAATTTGTGGAAATGGCCTCCTGGCAAATTGATTTCTGATTCCCTATTCCCTTACCACCCTTGCCAACACATATTTTGAAACTGGCTGCAAAGCTATGTTAGAGGTAAAAATTTCTATTATAGGTTCCTGGGACTTCTCATGAGACAGTGCTCAGCTGATTCAGGCCAGGGGCACCCATTGCCTTTGAGATTGTCAGCTGTGCTGCAGCCCTCAGAGTGGGCATAAGCTTTGACTGGACGAGCTTGGTGGCACAGCATGTCAGTTAATATGTTTTTGGTATCAGGTAACAGAAAATCCAACAAAATGTATCTTACACAGTGGAGGTTTATCTTCTCAAGCAGCTGTGTAGCAATGGGTGGCTCCCAAGTGACAAGAAGGTGGTCCCTGTACCCATCTCAGGGTTTCCCATGTGAGATGGCCACTGTGGCTCTGGTCATCACATCCGTGTTCAAGGCAGAAAGGAGGAGGAAGAGCAGTGCTGGCTCATGGGCCCCTTTTTACCAGGAAATCAAAAACTTTCTCTCAGGGCTTGTCTTTCTGTCTGGCCAGATCTGGTCACAGGTCATTTCTAGTGCTAAAGGCAGCCAGGAAACTGCCTCTGTAGTGAAGGGGGTGGCAGGAGCGGGGACTGGCACCACCCGCTCGCTGCGTCCCTGGGACTGGGGCCAGGTTGGCCGACTGGCAGTGGCCACCACCCACAAAGTGTCCCTCGCAGACACAGAATAAACCATCTTCCTAAGCTTGGAAAATCTAATATTATTACTACTCCTGCCTTTATAATTTCTAACAACCATCTGTAATGGTTTGTTCAATAACCCATTTGTTTGTCTTTTAACTTGTTTAACTGCCAGGAGGAATGAATGTGCGTTTCTTTGATGGATAAAATGTAGTATGGAGTTGGGAAAATCAGATTGTGCAGTTGTATGGGTGTCTCTGGTATTATTTTTGCTGTGTCCATACCAGTAAAATCATGACACTAAGTGTATTTCTGTCTATGAAAAATGAGTTTGAGTGACACTCCTAACCGGTGCTTCCTTTCTAATGTTCTTCAGGGAATTCAGTTTCTAATAGAAAATGACCTGCTACAGAGTTCCCCAGAAGACGTCGCCCAGTTCCTTTATAAAGGAGAAGGCCTAAATAAGACCGTCATTGGGGACTACCTGGGTGAAAGGTGAGTTCGAGGAGGAGGCACAGCCCTACTTGGGGCCACTCAGCCCTGCAGCTTGACCTAGGTCACACTCCACTTTCGGGACCATCACAGCCTAAAGGCATGATACAGCCACGGGCTGTGGGCATCCACGTGCCCATCGCAATACCAGGTGGGCCCAGTGCAATCGGTTCTTCTCCCGTGTCCATGGGAGGAGAGAGGCCTTAGAGTATTCTGGGATCCTGGGACTCCTCTGGAATCCTGTCTTTCAGGGAACCATGACAGAACTGACAGTGCGGCTGCCCCTTTCTCCTTAGGTTGGAAAGCATCTTAATCGTCTTCTGTTTTACCCAGAAATACGCCAGGTTTCTCAGTGGTTTTCTGTCTCATGTTACTTGCAGAATGAATAAAGGTGGAAGGTGAATTTTTTTAATGGAAAGCAGCAGGTCAGATTTACTTTCTGACCGCTACTGGCTTAGCAGAGGTTAGGGCAGGAATGCTGAGGCAGCACATGCCCTGAGTATGCCAAAACAGACTTTTGTCAAAGACCAGAAGAAAGTATTTTTAAACAAAAGCCCAATAGTTCCTAAAGTCGGGAGGTTTCGGTTTTTAGCTTTTTTTAAAAAAAATACTTGATTGAAAGTGGAAAGTGGAAAACTCATTCTCTGAGGCCAGCACTACCTAATACCCAACCAAAGACACTGCTAGAAAATGGCAGACCATATCCTTATGACTGTAATATATAGTCAGCAACATGTAGAAAGGATTCTGTACCAAGGGGACTTACCCCATGAATGCAAGGTTAGTTCAACATATAAGTCAATTAAAGTAATATACCATATCATTCAAATAAAGGACAAAGCCCGCATGATCTTCTCAACAATATAGGAAGAGCATTTGACAGAACTCAAAACTCCTTCACAATAAAAACACTTAAAAAGCTAAGACAGACAGGGAACTTGTTCAACATGATGGAGGATTCCTATAAAAAATCCCACCACTTAACGGTGAAAGAGTGACTGCTTTCTCCCTAAGATCAAGAACAAGACAAGGATGTCTACTCTTAGCAGTGCTGTTCAGCCCAGTGCTGGCACGTCTTGCTAGGGTGGTTAGACAAGAAAATAAAAGACATCCAAATTGGAAAGGAAGAAATTAAATTCTATTTTCAGATGATGCAATCATGTATATAGAAAATCTTAAGTAATCATTAAAAACTGTTAGAAGTAATACATTCAGTAAGGTTGCATGATATACAATTAATATACAAAACTCAATTGGCCAGGCGTGGTGGCTCACGCCTGTAATCCCAGCACTTTGGGAGGCTGAGGCAGGCGGATCACAAGGTCAAGAAATCGAGACCATCCTGGCTAACATGGTGAAACTTCGTCTCTACTAAAAACACAAAAAGTTAGTCAGGCATGGTGGCGGGCGCTTAGAGTCCCAGCTACTCTGGAGGTTGAAGCAGGAGAATGACGTGAACCTGGGAGGCGGAGCTTGCAGTAAGCCGAGATTGCACCACTGCACTCTGGCCTGGCCGACAAAGTGAGACTCTGGCCAAAAAAACAAACAAACAACAACAAAAAAACTCAATTATATTTCTATACAATAGCAATGAGTAAACTCAAAACAGCTCCATTTATAATAGCAATAGAAGGAATAAGATACTTAGGATAAATTTCACAAAAAAGCAACATTTTTACTCTAAAAACCACAAAACATTGTTGAAAAAGAATGAGAAGACCTAAATGGAAAAGCATCCATGTTCATGGATTGGAGGGCTTACTATTGCTAAGATGCCAATATTCCAACATTGATTTACAGATTTATTGTACTTCTTATTGAAATCCCAGCTGACTTCTTTGCAGAAGTTGCACTCCTAAAATTACTATGGAAAATTCAAGGGACCCAAAGTAACCACAGCAGTATTAAAAAAGAACAAAGTTGCAGAACTCACATTTATTTCCTGATTACAAAATAAAGTGGCCAGGCACGGTGGCTCACGCCTATAATCCCAGCACTTTGGGAGCCTGAGGCGGGCAGATCACCTGAGGTCAGGAGTTCAAGACCAGCCTGGCCAACATGGTGAAACCTCATCTCTAGAAAAATACAAAAATTAGCCAGGCATGATGGCAGGTGCCTGTAATCCCAGCCACTCGGGAGGCTGAGGCAGGAGAATCACTTGAACCCAGGAGGCAGAGGTTGCAGTGAGTCAAAATCATGTTGTTGCACTCTAGCTTGGGTGACAGAGTGAGACTCTGTCTCAAAAAAAAAAAAAGACTGAAGTGTATAATCAAGACAATGTAAAACTGGCATGAGGATACACATATATAAATGATGGAATAGCGTTGAGAATCCAGAAATAAACCCTTACATTAGTGTCAAATAAGTTTTCAGCCAGGTACCAAGACAGTTTCAGTAGGTGAAAGAATAGCTTTTTCAACAAATGGTACTGGGATAACTGGAAATGCACATGCAAAAGAATGACATTGGACACCCTACTGATACAAAAATTAAAATGGATCAAAGACCTAAATGTAAGAAGTAAAACTGATAAAACACTTAGAAGAAAACATGGGGCAAACCTCTGTGATCTCAAATTAGGCTAGGATTTCTTACATGTGACACCAGAAGCACAAATAACAAAAGAAAAAGGTAGGTAGACTCTACTTCATCAGAATATTGTGCTTCAGAAGACATCGAGAAAGTGAAGGCTGGCCAGGCATGGTGGTGTTTACAGCTAATCACCAGTTATAGATTCCTTGGTTCCTTGCCCACTCCCACTGCTTCACTTGACTAGTCTTAGGAAAAAAAAAAAGTAAAAAGACAATCCACAGGCCATCCTGGGAAACATAGTGAGCCCTGGCTCTACTAAAAATACAAATAAATCAGTATGACTTGCGAATATCTTCATATATTTGTCTTTATATAACCTAGATATAAGTCCTCAGGGCTGATAATCAGTCCTTATAATCTGCTGAGGACTTATATCTAGATTACATAAATAACTCTTCCAAATAAGAGCAAAAATAACAAAAATTACTCAGTTATCAAATGGCAAAGGATCTGAATAGACATTTCTGCAAAGAAGATATACAAGTGGCAAATAAGCACAGGAAAAAATGCTCAATTGATCGTCAAGGAGATACAGATTGAAACCACAGTGAGATACCATTTCACACCCATTAGGCTGGCCGTAATGAAAAAGAAATGTAACAAATGCCAGCAAGGCTGCAGGGAATGAAACCCTTATTGCTGATAAGATATAAAATCATGCGGCCTAGTGCGGTGGCTCACACGTGTAATCCCAGCACTTTGGGAGGCTGAGGTGGGTGGATCACCTGAGGTCACGAGTTCAAGACCAGCCTGACCAACGTGGAGAAACCCTGTCTCTACTAAAAATACAAAAGTTAGCTGAGTGTGGTGGCACATACCTGTAATCCCAGCTACTCAGGAGGCTGAGGCAGGAGAGTTGCTTGGAATCCAGGAGGCAGAGATTTTGGTGAGCCGAGATTGTGCCAGTGCACTCCAGTCTGGGCAGCAAGAGTGAAATTCTGGCTTAAAAAAAAATAAAAAGTATATAAAATGATGCTTTGGAAGTCAGTCTGGCAGTTCCTCAAAATGTAAAACATGAACTTTAACATGGAACCCAGTAATTTCACTCTTAGGTATTTACTTAATAGAAATAAAAATGTGGCCGGGTGTGGTGGCTCATGCCTATAATCCCAGTGTTTTGGGAGGCCGAGGGATGTGTGGGAGGACTGCTTGAGCCCAGGAGTTCCAGACCAGCCTGGGTAATATAGCGAGCCCTGCCTCGGCAAAAAATACAAATGTTTTAAAAAAGTATGGCCATGCAAAAACTTGTGCTTGAATGTTCATAGCCACATTATTCATAAGCCATATCTTTTAAAATAATTGGGATAATGTACATTAGGTTTGAAGCTTGCTTATTTTTTTCCCAGGGATGAATTTAATATTAAAGTTCTTCAAGCTTTTGTTGAACTCCATGAGTTTGCTGATCTCAACCTTGTACAAGCCTTAAGGTAAGTATGATCATTTGCTGGGTGTAGAGTGGATGGGGAAGGCCAGAGGACCGCTGCCTGGGCAGCAGTGGCTGTGAATTGACTCTAGGTAACTTGGTGCCACGCGAGTCTCACAGATGCTGGCTGCTGTTCCGAATGATCCAGCTAATGCCGTGTGACATCGAGCAGCCCTAGATAGGAACTGGGGCACATGCTTAAGATAAGGGCCATGTTTTCCTCACTGTGGCCGCTGGTGCTCCTTCCATTCCGTTTCCTTCTATTTTTAATGCTGTTTGGCAGTAGTTCGAGTGCCTTCTTCCCAAGCTCTGTATGGCGTGGCATTGGTGCTACATGGGGTTACTTCCTTCCAGATTTGACCTAAAGCACCAAACACATGAATACCTGAGTGTGCCAGAGAGGATGTAGTCTTCTCACCATTTTGGTGTCCGGGACACACTCCCTGGATGCCCCTCGAGCTGCCCTTCCTGCACGTTTTCTTCCTCCTGCTCTGCAAGCAGGAAATTGTCTCGCCTCCTTCCTTGGTGCCCCGGCTGTTCTCTTCTGGGCCTTCATCTGTTCTGGGCCTTGACCCTGAGCCAGTACTCAGCAGCATCTGGGGGAGAGGAGGCAGGGCCTCTGGTGGGAGCTGCCTCAGCTGGCCCTTGGGCTGAGAAAATCAGGCCGCATCTCGTCATGTTCTCAGACCTTCTGCTTCATACCTTGTTCTCGTTTACGTGGCCTGTTTCCTCATGGCCTTACCTCAGGCGCAGACTGCAGCATTGGCATCATTTCTGTGGGACCCTGCTGATGTGCTCGCAGCACAGCCTGGAGCTGAACAGTGCGCTGAGAGTTAGCAACATATGAGAATCCTGCAGCCACAGTTCGGGCTTATCAGATTCCGTTTCTGGAAGCTGTACATCCAGAGAAGGGTACAGGCCTGGCGAGTCTGGGAGGGGCGTCTGGCACGGCCCTTGCTGCTGTGACTCCATTTCTTTCAGTCCATCAGTCTCTGGCCACAGCCAGAGAGGCTCCTATTAATTCCCACAGCAGTGGGAGCCTGGCATAGCCCAGTAGAGGGTCTGATGAAGGCACAGGGTGAGGGGGAATGTAGGCAGGTCCTGTGGCCTGAGGAGCTGCCCCGAGAATGTTAGCTTTTGTCCTGAAGGACACGGCAAGCCTGTGTGGGGCAGAGGTGTGCGGGCTGACTCGAGACTCTTTAGTGCCGTGGGGTGGGCAGGGAGGCCATGGTAATGGGCTGGTGAGCAGGTGCATGCTTTGCTGGTGAACGTGGGATAGACGGGGAGTGAGGGGTGGAGGGGGTGAGAGTGGAGGAGGGGTGATCGTGTTGAGTCTGAAGGCTGCTGGTGCAGGCCTGGTGGAGAAGATGGGGCCTGGTAGAGAGTGGGGCCAGACATGGCTGGAATCCCAGGAGGAGAGAGCAGAGGAAGGACCTTGGGGAGCTGCCCTGTGTGAGGGACATGCAGAGGAAGAGGAGCCCCGGGGGGGGCCCGGCTGCATCCTCCCCCGATGGCTGGTGGGATGAGTATTTTTAAAAGCCCAGAGACTTAATTGGAGCCTTGAGGTCTAACTTGGTCCTGATCCTTCTGCTAAATCCACGGCAGCATCAGACATTGCTGAATAGCTGGTGCAGGAGGCCACAGCTGGCCTTGGGGACTGCAGCCTCTGCCCCTGGGGCTCACACCTGGGCGACCAGACAGTGGATAAGGCAGACAGGTAGCAGGGACAGTGCCACGCAGCCGCAGCCAGCCGAGGAAAGCAAGGAAGGGAAGCGGTAGGAGGTGGGTGGGGGGACTGGGCTGGGGGTTGCAATTACAGGGAGGTCAGCCAGGGAGACCTCAGCCAGAGGGGATGCCTGAGGGTGGGAGTGTCTGCTGGGCCTGGTCTCTGAGGCAGGTGTGTGTCTCCCCAGCAAGGCAGCAGCAGCTTCTGGCCGCAGTGCCCAGTGCTGTAGGTGGGGCTTTGGATACCGTCCTGTAGACTATGGCTCTGCCTTATGTGTGGGAGTTCTGAGAGGAGGACGTGGTCTTGTTGATGCTGTGAGGACTGGCTGGTGGCAGCTTGGGACATGCAGGGCTCTGGTGATCACCTGGCAGCAGCAGGAGATGGTGGCAATGGGGACAGAGAAGTGCTGGGATCCTGGATATTTACTTTTTAGGCAGAGACAACTGGCCTCGCTGCTGAATCGGTTGTAGTTACAAAAAGATGAGCCATCAGTAAGCGTGTCTTGAGTTATGGAACGGAAGGAGACTGTCCTGGGTTTTCTCCTTTCTGTCTCTGCACCCCCAAGCCCCTGCCAGAGCTGTACCCCAGCCCGGGAGGAAAGCGTCCTTCCTGAGCGGGGCAGAAGCCGCCCTTGGCCTTGAGGCGGTGTGGATTCTGATGCGGCTGCCCACGGCTTTGCTGTCTCCACAGGCAGTTCTTATGGAGCTTCAGGCTGCCGGGGGAGGCGCAGAAGATTGATCGCATGATGGAGGCTTTTGCTTCTCGCTACTGCCTGTGCAACCCCGGGGTCTTCCAGTCCACAGGTCAGTGTAGCGCTCACAGCCTGGCCCCTCGCCAGGCACAGCCTCCAGCTCTGGAGGGGGCGGTCCCGGCAAAGCCCAGCGTGTGTTCCTGGGGACCTGCCTTCCCTGAGCGAGGACGACCTGTGGGCCGGGCACCTCTTGCAGGCGGGCCCCCAGCACGCGGGGTCCCACTGTCCACTGGAGGTTCTGGCTGAGCCCAGCACCCCGGACTCGTTGCAGACACGTGCTACGTGCTGTCATTCGCCATCATCATGCTCAACACCAGCCTGCACAACCACAACGTGCGTGACAAGCCCACGGCAGAACGGTTCATCGCCATGAACCGCGGCATCAACGAGGGCGGGGACCTCCCTGAGGAGCTGCTGAGGGTGAGCTCCCCAGCCCGCGGCCGCTGCCGTCTGCAGGATCTCTTCGCTGGGAGCGGCCGCAGCGCCTGGGACTCCAGACGCGCCTCCCGAGTCTCCTTGCCGCCCTGGTCCTGCTGCGCTTTCCGCGCGGCGGCCGCTGGCCTCTGTGTGAGTCTGAACTGGCTGCTGCTCTTTCCTCCCTGCAGAATTTGTATGAGAGCATTAAGAACGAGCCATTTAAGATCCCGGAGGACGACGGGAACGACCTGACGCACACCTTCTTCAACCCCGACCGCGAGGGCTGGCTCCTGAAGCTGGGTGAGCCGCCTGCCCAGGGGACCCGGGCGTGACCCCTCGGCCCACGGCAGCAGCCCCTCGGGTTCCTCCCAAGCTCGTCATGGGAATGTAAGGAACGCCCCCGCCACAGGCAGAGACGTTAAAAAGAAACGCAGTTAAGCCAGAGCCCGCTCTCGGTAGCCGCACGGCCCACGGCTGCTCCTCTGAGCCGGGGCGTCAGAGCTATGTCCGCGGCAGAGAGGAACGCCCGGGCTGCACGGCCCGTCCCAAAGCACTGCTGAGTTAGCATCCAGAGCCAGCCAGGGCAGCGTCCTGCACGAGAAACGAGCGCGTTATCCACAGAACCTGTGTGCCTCTCTCTCGGTTTGGTGTGGCTGTGATTTCTGACGCGTGGTTTAAATGTGCCTTCTTGTTGTTTTCCTTCTGCCTGTGGCTCCCACCTTTCTGTTCTGTGACGGGCTGTCCCTGCTTGTCCTGCTTTAGGAGGTAGGTACCCAGTGGCTTCCCGCCCCCCAGCGGCTCATTCCTCTCGGTCTCCCCACGTTGGTCTGTGTGAGCTCCGCTGTGTGGCTGCCATTCATCCGACCCATCTGTGGACTTGCGGGCCGCGCCGTGCACGGTGCGGAGAACGCTCCACCCACCCCAGGGGCGGGGCTGAGAGAGGCCGGGACCTGGAGCACTCGGGGATGCCGTGTGGGAACCGGCTTGCCCCCACCCCGTGTCTCCAGGGGTCTGCAGCAGTAGAGAAGCAGCCAGCCAGCCCTGTCCCTGCGGCATCACCCTCCACCCCATACTAACCCAGCAGCGCATGGAGGGATTTCGGGAGCTCTGTAAAGGCCCCTGGAGCGATTTAGGGCACTCGCGTGCGGTTTTAGAGATGCGGAGGGGTGTTTTGCCTGTGGGGCGGGGATGGTTGCCGTGTGCCCACAGTGAAGCCTTCCAGATGCGATGGCTGGGCTCACGCAAGCCCTTCTGAGAGCAGGCGGCCACCGGGCAGCACATAAGACCTGGAGTGGAGTGTCCTGGTGATTTAAAAAAAATTTATCAGTCGGATGCAGTGGCTCATGTGTGTAATCCTACTGCTTTGGGAGGCTGAGGCGGGAGGATTGCTTAGGCCAGGAGCTTGAGACCAGCCTGGACAATAAAGTGAAACCCCGTCTTTACAAAAAAATAAAAATTGGCCTGGCACGATGGTGTGTGCCCGTAGTCCCAGCTACTAGGGAGGCTGAGGCAGAAGGATCGCCTGAGCCCGGGAAGTTGAGGCTCCAGTGAGCCATGACTGTGCCACTGCACTCCTGCCTGGGCGACAGAGGGAGACCTTGTCTCAAAATAAATAAATAAATAAATAAAATAACAATTATCAAGGAAGGATGAGACACAGTGTGACAGGCACAGGCTTCCTCAGCTGGTGGAAGGGATGTGAGTCCCACAGGTCTGCCTTTCCCATTAGGGTCTTCGACCTTGGCCATTGCTCTTTGGCTTTTTTCTGACTATGCCGAGGTTTAGGGGAGTTCTAGGTATTTGCCTGAAAACCTCGCACCATGGTCTTGGGCTTGGGTGCCTGAGAGACCAGATCAGATCACTTCGTGTGAGGGTTCTAAAGTGAGGGCGGGGGGGATGTAACCGGAAACAGCAGCAGGCGCTCTGGGGACGGGATAAGTGGGACGTTCGTTTGATTAGATGCCTCCCTTCTGGTTCCTGCATTGCCCCCCAGTGTCCCCTCGAGGGACAGTGACGCCGTCAGCCTGCCTGGCAGTTAATGTGGCCTGTGCCACCAGGGAAGGGTCGGCTCTGGAGATGTAAATGCGTGAATGAAATGAAGGCACAGCAGAGCTCGTGTTATCTAACCTGTTTTCTGGTTGGGCAGATAAACAGGCCACAAAATGAGTGCACACAGCGCTCACGGGAACCAAGAGCTGGCTGGGCGCCGGGTGCCAAGCGCGGGGGCCCTGGAGGGGCTGGTGCAGCTGGCATGGCCTCAGTGTGGTGGGCGGCCCGGTGAGCGGCTGCCACTCTAGGGTGCTGGCTTCCTTGCCCTCTCCCACCCAGGCACCCTGTGTGCCTACTGTGTTCTCAGAAGCAAAGTTCGAGACCAAAGGCTGGCGAGCCAGGGCCCTGGCTGGAGGCAGACGAGACGGGTGCAGGATCTAGAATGCTTCCAGGCGTTCGCTGAGTGGGGAGTGTGACCTGACTTGGCTGTATTCTTACTGTAGATTGGCTTTTAGAGCAGGTGGTCTTAAAAAGGCCAGGATGCTTTGCCAGAGCGTAGGAACCCTGCTGTGTACACAGGCGTGGCTTACGATTGTTGGTAACTTAAGACTTTGAGTCTTGAATCAATTACCACACAAAAAAAAACACAGGAGGTGGTCCAACCCAAGCTATCATGCAGAAAGTGTGTGCACGTGCTGTGTTTGTGCGTGTGGATCCGTGTGCGCACCTGCCTGCTCACGGCAATGAAAATAGAAACTTGCAGAGAGAAAGTGGCTCCCGTCTGCAGGTTCCAGAAACCAGGCTCTTGTCTGCAGGCGAGAATGCTGTGTGGCGTGGCCAGAAGCAAGCACGAGCAGAGCCTGCTGGGCTCTGAGACCAAGCTCACCACCCACTGCCCTGGGCCTGCAGTCCTGGTCTGCAACCATCCCCTGGCCCTGAGGACTGGACAGGGATGGGGCTGTCCATGGGGGGTGTGAGCAGGGGACCTGAGGGTGGAGCTGAGAGGCTGCCTGGCAGACCCGTCCCAGGCGGACCCGTCCCAGGCGGACCCGTCCCAGGCGGACCCCTCCCAGGCGGACCCCTCCCAGGCGGGGGCCAGGTGGACAGGCTAGTGGAACATACAGGCCCATCGCTGTCCACCATGCTGGGAGCATGGAGGAACAGAGCAGGTGCTGGACAGAAGCACACAACCTGGGGGCTCCTGGATGAGCTCCCCAAGAACTGGAGACTCAGCTGGGCAGGGAGAAAGGCCACAGCTGGGGAGCCAGGAAGGGCGGCCCCTGCAGCCACCCAAGGAGTTGGGTCTAAAGCCGAGTGCAGTGGGACCCTTTGCGGGGGCGTCAGGCCGGGAGGGGCACGATCGCCACACGCTTTTGAAAAGATGCCTCTGGCTGCTGTTTGGGGGCTGGCAGCTGGCCCCAGTGCAGCTGGAGCAGGGCCTGCTCTGGAGTCTCTGGAGGGAAGCAGAGGCGACTGTGACAGTGACCGATGTCAGGGTAGTGGAGTTGCTGTCAGCTGATTCTGCCACAGCAGCTCGAGCTGGAGCAAGTGCCTGAAAGGAGTCAGCACTGTCCCCCTGTCCCCAGGGTCTCGGGGACATAAAACGCCTCTCCCTGCTCACTGGAGGACTGAGGGACAAGGCGGGGTTGCCCCCAGGGTCTCCTGCCCTCCCCTGTGGACTTAGGCCTCCCTGGTATGCTGCAACGGAGGTGGGGAAGGTGAAGGCCGAGGGCTTGCATGGAGCATGGAGCCCGTGGTGACAGGGACACGAGGGCAACAAGGGCTTTGGGCCTTGCTGGGGCCTGGCTGGGTGTTCAGGGGACCAGTGAGGTGGCCCCACACAGTTGGGGCAGCGGGTTCCAGACGGAGCAGCTTGCAGGGGTCGGGGAGTGGAAACCCCGCCAGGGCTCAGGAGAGATGTTGGGGGCAAGGTTTGAGGGCTGGGGAGATGCAGCAGGAAGCTTGGGGGGCAGATTTGCCCAGACCAGGGTCTAGACAGACCCTTTATTTAACAGGTGGGCTGGTGGGACACTGATGAGACTGGGGCCTGTGGGGAGGCGAGGAACAGCTGGAGACTGGGCTTCTGTCCCAGGCTGGCGGTGGCAACCACATTGCAGGCTGCCTTAGGCATCAATGGAGGATGGCAGTGCTGAGTGAGGCAGGGGCCGGAGGATCCCAGAGGGGCTGCGGAGACCCCTTCCAGCCGCCAGTACGGCTGAGCCAGGCTTCCTGCCACCTGCAGCTGGTTCCTCCTCACCCAGGGTCTCTGCACACCAGGCCCCGAAAGGTGATCCGCAGAGCCCTTCTCACAGCATCTTGCCGCCAGGCCTCAGCGCCCGTGCTGGCCCCCACACAGGGAGGCCACCCCCTGCCAGCCTGTCACAGAGAAAGCCGGGTGAGCTGCGCGGCGCTGGGGAGGCGTGGGGCAGAGCGGCTTAGTACCCCAGGGAGCACTGAGTTCATTGCTCCGCGCGTGCGTTTCTTTGAATTGTTTAAAAAACAAACAGGCAAGGCTAGCAGCTGAAGTCAGTTTGTGTCTGCTCAGTGTTTAAGGATCAGAGACGTCCTTCCCTTAGTGAGAGGAGGGCAGGTACAGATAGGGGTACGCGCGTGCACCCCAGATCTTGTTACAGAATTAATTCAGTCTCACGATTCCCTGGGCCCAGGGGTGATTGAGTTTGGGGGATCCCAGGGCTGCCCAAGGGCCTCTGTAACGTGACAGCCACCTGACATGGTGGGTCAGGCCCTGGACAGAGCCCGGCGAGCCGTCCTGACTTCATCACGCTGCCATCTCATGTGGGGAAATGCCGCCATCCATCCCACTAACTCCCAGGAAGCGAATTGGAGTGCGGTCGTGTCATCAGGGGGCCCCTCGGTGCCGTGGAGGGGCACCAGTGTGGGCGGGGTGGGTGCATGCGGGGCCCCGCGGTGGGAACGCCGAAGGGCACCTAAACCCGAGCCTGGCGCCTGGCAGCCTTTCTGAAAACGCAGTGGTCTGTGCAGGTCCAGGGCCCCCTCTTGGACCCGCGGGCTTCCTGTGCACCGAGCACACACTCACGGGGCCCTTCTGCTTCTAGGAGGACGCGTGAAGACCTGGAAGCGCAGGTGGTTCATCCTGACTGATAACTGCCTCTATTACTTTGAATACACAACAGTAAGTAAGGTTGGGCCTCCTGGTCGCCTCCCGGCAGTCACGGAGCTGCCCTGGGGCTGAGGGACCCCCAGGCTGGTGGCCCACAGTGAGCGCCCGTGTACTTCTCTCTTGTAGGATAAGGAGCCCAGGGGAATCATCCCGTTGGAAAACCTCAGCATCAGGGAGGTGGAGGACCCCCGGAAACCCGTAAGCTCCCTCCTGAACCTTCTCTCCTGCCAGCCACCTGGGAGCCATCCTCACTGCCTGCAGGGAACCTGGCCCCCAGCCCCTGTGACGGCCTCCCCTCTCTTTCTCCACCAGAACTGTTTTGAGCTCTACAATCCCAGCCACAAAGGGCAGGTCATCAAGGCCTGTAAGACGGAGGCGGACGGCCGCGTGGTAGAGGGGAACCACGTGGTGTACCGGATCTCAGCCCCGAGCCCGGAGGAGAAGGAGGAGTGGATGAAATCCATCAAGTGAGCGGGGTTCGGGGGCGGGGCCAGGCCTGTCTTCTCATGCTGGTTGGAGGGCGGAGGATGTCTGGAAGGTGGATGCTTCCGTGTGCAAGAGCGGACCCTCTGCCTCCAGAAACCCAGTGCTCAGATCTGAGCCTGCGGTCCTGTCTGAGGAGCCTCTGGGGCTGGTGGGGAAGGGAAGGTCTGTGTGTCACCCACGACCTAACCTGCATGTTTTCCTTCTTTCACCAGAGCCAGTATCAGCAGGGATCCCTTCTATGACATGTTGGCAACGAGGAAACGAAGGATTGCCAATAAAAAATAGCTTTCCTGGCTACAAGACCCAGGTAAAAGACCCAACCCCAGCAGAAAGACACTGCGGGCCGCCCCTCCGCGGAAGGCGTGGCAGGGAGGCGGTCGCCCTGCGGTGCAAGCTGCTTCTCCAGAGTGTACCGTGGCCCAGATGGCATCCCCGAGGCCTCGTGCCGTGGCTGGGGTCCTGGGAGGTGGTCGCCCTGCAGTGCAAGCTGCTGCTTCAGAGCATACTGTGGCCCAGACTGATCCTCGAGGCCTTGTGCCGTGGCTGGGGTCATGGTCGGCTGCGCGTGTCCAGAAGTATTCCTTCCTGCGACCGTCCCCGGCGGCCCTGGGGGGAGAAGCCAGGACAGCAGCTTCCGCTCTCTCCACAGCAGACACCGGACGGATTCCACAGATGGGAGCCTCATTCGTACCATGCCAAACGCGTTCACTCGGGGCAGTGTTAACCGTTCTAGAAAGCCACTGTTTTATAGCAAAACAGGAAAGGAAAAGCTACCAGTTTTTTATTCAGAATTTTTTCTCAGATATATAGGATTATAGCTTTTATATGCATTTTTATATTCTGAAATTATAACAAAAGATACTTTCTAACAGTAGTATTTTTAGAATGGCAGCTATAAAGTTAACTCCTGGACACAAGTATATACTGTGCACTGAAAAAATATCCATCTAGACGCAGCACCCAAGGGGAGGGCTGGGGGACACCAGCACGGGGGGCCACGTGCAGCCCTGCCCTGTCAGGCTGTCAGGCAAGCCCCGGGGGCAGCAGGTGGGCTCTGGACGGGCTCGGGGAGGGATGGCCATGGCACTTGGGGGCTCCAAGGTGACTCCCATGTGGCCTCCCTTCAACCCAGGCTTTTTGGCCCCACAGGTACTTTAAGCAAATCGTTAAAGTGATAACAGTTAATGGTTTGGGGTGTTTAGCCTGTAACTGCTAACTCCTAGGAAACAGCTTTTCCCTGGACACAGATGGTCCATATGCTGAATCACGTGAAACTGCTCATGTTTTGTTCAGACACACGCACAGCAGCGTTTCATACAGGTCAGCGGAGTCCATGTGGACCGGCTTTTGACCATACTTATCGCTATTTAAAACCTGTGGCAAAATGAATGCTTATTTTACAGACCTTCTAATTTGACCAGATTTCTTAATGAATAGGCACAGAAGTAACTAGAAACAGCCTCACCCCATGTAGCGTGCCATGTCCTGAGACAGGTGCCCTCCCTACGAGGAGGGAAGAACAGGCCCTGGGGTGCAGAGGCCTGGCACGTAGGGTGTCTGGGGAGCTGAGAACCCCAGATAGACACCGGTGGTGGAACTGGCGAAGCTCCACGCCCGCCTGGGAGGTCGTCAGGTTGCTGTGGATGTGAGGATAGCAGGTGCCTGGTGCTTCACTCAAGCAAGGGTGGATCTGGGCCCCACCTCCAGAGAGGGCACAGGGCTGGACGGGGGCATTGCGTGCTTGGGCTGACGCAGGCCGGTAGCAGGCGCTGCTCTGTCGGGAGATTTGCATCCCCAGGACCCTGTTGCACACGGGGCTGTTGGGCTGGTGGCTGGCGTTTCCTCCACGGACTTCCTCTTCCCGCCCCACCCGCACAGGCACACCTTGAATCTGCACCCTCTGGAGGGCATCTGTACTCCTGCGCAAAATGCCCAGTCCAGAGACCAAACCTCAGACTGTGCACCTAGGCTTCCTTCTCAGCAGCGGAGACTGTTCCTTTGAGTTGCCTTGAAGTGGAGGCCGAGCGGCTGCGGGCCCTCCGCCTCCCTGCGGCTGACCTTGATGTAGCTTTAAGTCGCACTAGACTGCAGAGGGGTCCGAGGCCAGAAGCCCCCGTCCTGCATCAGACTTTCATTCCCAAGCTCTTAGGCTTTGTTACTGATACCTCAAATTGGAAATTTTAGTTCTGAGAAAGGCAAGTCAGCGTTCTTGAAACCTGGCTGGTAGATATGCAATTCTGGCCTCCAGTCTTCCATGAAAATAAACGCTGCCTGGACCCCCCCCACCCCAGACCACACACTGACGGCCGGCCCCGGCGGTGCCCACCCCTCAGGCTGGCCCCGCACCCAGGACTGGCCACAGCCAGCTTTGTCAGCATGTCGTGCTCAGACGAGCCGTTTCCTTCTGAGCAACCCAGGTGTGACCTGGGGATGCGGAGCTTTCTGTTTTGGGTGTTGGGAGCCGCGGCGGGAAGGAGTCTCCAGATCAAGCTCCTCCGCTGCTGTCGTCTGGGAATGAGCTTCACCAGGTGGTCGGCACCCGGGAGCCGCGCAGAGGCTGTGGTGCTGAGTTAGACTCCAGGTACTTTGTGGTCAGAGTGTTACAGGAAATCGCCTAGCTCCAGGCTGTGTAATGACAGTATTAGCATAAAGGCCGTGCAGCCATCATGCCTGCTGAGCCTTGAGGCAGGCCTGGTCCAGAAAACTCTCTGGGTCATGACTGCACAGGGCCAGCCGCCACCAGGACGGCCCTGAAGCAGGACATCTGTTTTTGTCCCTCACCCTGGGCAGGCCCTGTCACAATCACGATCCTCCTCCTCCTCCCCGCCCCGATGTCTGAGCACAGGGCTCGAATTGTTAGTCCCAACTCTGGCCAAAGACACTTTCGTCCAGAGACAGAGGCCAGGAGGCAGCGACGGGAGCCCGGCGGGGAGGCGGCGGCTGCCACAGCCCTTCCAGCCTGTCTTGCTGGGCCCTGGTTCACATTTGAGTTTAGTTGGACTGGCCCTGGACCCAGATAAGCAGCAGTGTCTTTGGGGTCACAGACCATTTTGGGGCAGTTTAATGTGGTACCAAACTGAGTGAAACTAGGAGCTGTTTATAGATGGAGCAGCACTTAGTGCTTCATAGAAAGCAATGCCTACTTTTAAAGTTACAAATGCAGCTATTTACATAGATGTGCTTTGCCGAGAAGTTAGGTCTGTGGTAGACCAGAAACCACAAATTGACTTTTTTTTTCTTAGAAAATATTTCTATTTGCGGAAAATACAGTAATATGTAAATAATGTACATCTATTGATTTCTGGAGTGTTTGTTATTCAATGTATATACTGCCATGGCTCGCATGAAGAAACAGCCTCTCTCTCTCATTTGGTTGTAAAGTGAACAGTAAGATTGGAGGGTGGATGGCTGTCAGTGCTCTTGCAAATACTGTGCTCACTAAATAAAAATCACATGTATTGTTAAAACAAGCCTGTCTGAGACTTGGTTCTTTCCGACAGATATTGTTGGGTCCAGCAAACACCCCTCCAGTTTTCCTTTGCCCGTCCCAGGTGGGATGGCCTGGCCGAAGGTACTGACTTCAGCAGGAGCACTTGAAGGTTTTAAGAAAGTGAATTCAGATGACAGGAAGGAGTCTGGAAGCAAATGGGGAAAACAGCAGTAAAAAGACGCCAAGTGTGTGATTTGCTGCCATTTATATACTATAGAAATTTTACATGCTGTATATTTACAGTGGGGCAAGTGCTTTTTTAATCTTTAAAAAAACAAAGATCAAACTTTAAACATCTCTGAACAACACAAACTGTATAAACCATACAGATTATTCAGATACAAACTGTATTAAATACAGTTTTCCCCACTCCATCTCCTGATGCAGGACCAGTGAATTATAAGTGTATCACAGTTTGATAGCATATCCATATTAAAAATAAAATCACAGTATGATTGTGTCTGTAACTAGAAACTCGAAGGGACCAAGCAGACAACGGAGACTCCAGTATCAGTGAAGACAAGAGACGCTGTATCAAAAAGTGTTGTGTAATAGAAACATACTGTCGGCTTTACAAATCATGTCTGGGTTATACATTCATAATGTAAATACTCATCATAACTGGGAAATTGATTGGAACAGTTCCACAAAGTTCAAAAACAGAACTTGTCTATAAAATACATCTTCAAATCTTGAATACAACTAAAATAAGCAAATTAGTTTCTAGTATCAGACATTACAGAAAACAGACTGCTCTCCAAAGTCTAGGTGAGAGCTTGTGAGTTTTTAAATAAGTCTTTAAATTAAATATACACACTGTCAGTTTGTACTTTTGACAATTCCATGGTCTCCCGGTTGGTCTTGCACCAGATGTCTAACTTGGAGGAACATTACATGAAATACAAGTAATCGACCTGAGTCTGTAATTAAGCAGCATTTGAGATGTTCTATTCCAGGGCATTATTTCAATGGGATTTATATACACGGTATTTTACAATGGTCAGCAGTGGTAGAAAGTGTTCGTCCATTCGGAATAAGGGTAATTAAGAAAAGGTAAAAACTAAAAAAAAAGTTCTCCATGGTAAAATCTGTACAGTATTTACTAAAGAAGCACCACGCAGATTGGAACAGAGTTATTTTCTATCTTTATAATTTAAGCTGGGCTGGGGATGGCTTCTGTTGAACGCGTTGAATCTGAAAGACAAGAGGCGCTGGGTTAGTGAGTTGGAGGCAGGCGGCGGCGGTGCCTAGGGCTTATTCCGGACGCCCTGCCAACTGCTCCAGAAGGCTGGGGAAGCTCTTCCCTGAGGAGGTCACTCTGCCTTCCTGGGTGGAAGTGAGGGAACTGGTGGTGCGAGCGGCTCAGCCAGGGAGGCGCCATCTGCTGGGCCCCGCCGCCGCCAGCCCCCAGCTGCCTCCTCCACCTCCGTCCTCACAGCCCCTCACTTGGGAAGTTTACCTCCTTCCTTAGGGTTGGGCCTCTCCCTTGAGGACACATTGATAAAGCCTGTTAATTAACGGCCAGTTAATCCACAGACTCTTCACTTGGAAATTCATTTTAAATTCTTCTTGCTGACTACATGTGACAGACACATTTGGACAAAGTTTCCTTTCAAGGGAAAAATGATTCGCTGTCCCCTTTAGGTCCACAGGGGTCAGGTATAAAACCAGTGACTCTCCCAGGACCCCTGTGAGAATTGACCCAACACAGCCCTGCAGCTCTGAGGTCCTGATCTGCCACTCGGCCACCTTCCCACGGTTTTGTACAGTGGGTGCTGGGTGCTGGGTGGGTGCCGGCTCCAGCTCAGTGCGACCTCGGGGCGCAAACAGCAGCACAGGGGCCAGGATGGGACGGGGAGGGAGCAAGGCTCCGCTCTCCTGAGGTGCCTGTGCTGGGCACCGGGCCTCTCCCTTCCCAGATGTTTATCAAAGGCCCCTGGGCTCGGCTGCTGTGAGCCAGGTTGGCTTTTCCCAGTGAGAGGCAAGGGAACAGGGCAACTCCACCTGCGTGAGGGATGCGGGTCTTCCCAGCCAGTAATGCAAAGGTGACGAGGTGGAGGGTCTAGGTCTGTCCCCAAGCACGTGGCCTGGGTCTGGGCTGGCTGGGAACCTGCCGGGGCCTCTCCATGGCTCTGCCCATTCCTATGGGCCCAGCCCACAGGCAGAACCACAGAATAACTCCTCTGCCTGAGTCCCCTCAGCGCCACCACAAACAATGAAGAAACAGGAAAACAGCTTACCATAACTAGTGAATTTTTTGTTTTGAGGCTGAGTTTTCAATCACCTAGAAAGCAAAGGTCAGGAAAGAGATTTTAATGATGGTTGCAAAACCGCCAGTGCCTCTGCTCTGCGTGTGCATTAAGTGGCTATGGTCAGTCACTGCGGTTCCCTGTGAGTGGCTGAGGCCATTTCCCCACGAGGTGAGCAGGGATGTCCCAGCGCTCAGCTGCTGCTCCCAGGGCTTTACTGACATCAAAGGGTTTACGTGATGACTGAGACTGAGGGCTCCATCCAACCCACGCACACCCTGGGGTTAGGACAACAGATCTCAGGCCCAAGAACTGAACTGGGTGGAACAGAGCCAGAGGAAGAGTCTGAAAGAGAAAGGCAAGGAGCCGAAGTCCAGGGCAGAGGGGGGCCTGTAGGACCACAGGACGCTGGGTGAGGCGAGGCCGGGCACCGGCCTTCTTGGGAGGACAAGAAAGGCTCCTCAGTCTGTGCTCGCAGCAGAAGCGCCAGCTGCCATCAGTGCAGTGGGATGGGCACAGAAACGCAGGCCACCACACACATGCCTGACCACAGCACCCAAGGACAGGCACGGAAACGCAGGCTGACACACACACACACACACACACACACACACACACACACAGGCACGGAAACGCAGGCCGACACACACACACACACACACACACACGCACACACACGCACACACACACACCCCCCTGACCACAGCACCCGAGACAGGACGCAAACAAGTTCACGTTCAACCTCCCTCCTGCTGGACCAGCTGCCTTGGGGGCTATCACTGTCTCCCAGCAGCCCTGGCTGGGAGCCCACGATCCTCGGAGCCCGTACCACACGCAAAATGAGCCCATTCACCGCATCCTCGGGTACCAAGCAGCCCTCACGAATCCCCTTCCCCGATTCGCTGAAATGGGAAGGCAAAACCAATTCTGAAACGTCCAGAATGTCTACAACACAGACAGCAAAGGCCCGCCGGCTCCCCATCCTCGCCGGCTCCCCGTCCTCGCCGGCCCCCTGCCCTCGCCGACAGTGCTGGTACCTGTCCTGGGCTCCGGCTGTTTCCCCAGCACTCCACAGGCAAGTGTGCCCCATGGGGCTCACCCCGCAGCCCCGGCTCTCTGTCACACACTCTAAGGACCATCTGCCCCTCAATCAACAATGCACACTGGCTCTGGGCTGCTGGCAGGGACAGGCCTTCCCCAGAACACACAGCTCCACCTAACCCACGACACAGCTGAGAAGCAAAGGCCTCAGGGCAGCCCTGATGATTCGTCAAAAGTCCCTGGGAGGAGGGCATGCGCTTCATACATGAATGCAAACAACTGGCGTTCAGGTAGGGATGACCAACTTTCTCTGTGAAGGGGCAAATAACATTCTCCGCTTTGCAAGCCACACAGTCCCTGCCCTGCTGCAGCCACTCGCCTCTGTCAGGCAGTGACAGCGAAGCCACCGGACAGCGTGTGAACGCGCCTGGCTGTACCCCAATCAAGCCACAGACACTGCAGTCTGAACTTCACATCATTCTCATGTGAAACGCATTGTTGTTCTTTGGGATTATTTCCAACCACTTAAAAAGGTTAAAACCATTCTTCACTCCAAGTTCATACAAAGCCAGGTGACCGGCCGAAGCTGGCCGCAGGGCTGCAGTTTGCCAACCTCTACTCTAGGTCCACTGACTCGAGTGACATCCACTTCTAACAGGCTCACAGCTCCTCTCCAGGACCAGCAGTCACTGGACACCAACCAGAGAGGAAGTGGGGAGGCTGCCTCAAGTGCAGTCAGAGCACAGCGCGTGGCCACATGACACACAGCCCCACAGGGCAGAAGAGAATCTAGGACCCCTGGCAGCGACAGTCCGTGGCCCGCCACACCGTCTCTGAGGCGTCAGGCAGAGGCCGACGCCCGTGCTTCTAACAACCCAAGCAAGCAAATCGGTACCGAGCGTCAAAGCACACTCAGAATGCTACAGGTTTAAGGATTCAGGAGAGTAATGTATATACTGCAAAAGTATTTCTATCAAAAATGCTTTAAAACCAAGAGTTCTCGAGACCATCCTGTTTAACAGGGTGAAACTCTGTCTCTACTAAAAACACAAAATTTAGCTGGGCGAGGTGGCGGGCGCCTATAGTTCCAGCTACTCGGGAGGCTGAGGCAGGAGAATGGTGTAAACCCGGGAGGCGGAGCTTGCAGTGAGCTGAGATTGCGCCACTGCGCTCCAGCCTGGGCGACAGAGCGAGACTCCGTCTCAAAAAATAAATAAAATAAAATAAAATAAAATAAAATAAAACCAAGATTTCTGGTCCTTTGTGAGGCAAACACTCAAGATGCCCAGAGTCATACGTTCCAGGGCTTTGGTGACACACAGGTGGTGCTGCCCTCAGTCCTGTGTCACTTAGGCCTTCAATAAACGCTAAGGGTTTGGTGCTAAGGAGCCAAACTGGACAACAGCACCGCACTGCAGGGACGAGCACTGAGGCCGGACCCTGTCTGGCAGGGTGATCTGAGTAACTGCAGCCTCTGATGCCACCTGAGGTTTTCTATGTATTACTCGCCCTTTGCAAAGAAAATGTATTAAGAAATAGTTTCTATCTTCTTAATTCCAAGTATCTCCTCTTACCCTGGCCATACTCAAAGAGATGACACCTGTCATCCCTGCTTTCCATCCGTAAGTGTTTCGTTTTCTCACGGAAAGGTCCGACGCCTTCCAGAGGCGGGCCACCGGGCAGAGGAAAG